ATTACAGATACGAGCTCCATTGACGCTCCATCAGTGAAACCCTGCTGGGTTGTGTTACAACGGTTATCACGACGGGAAACAGTTAGCTCCAAATTACCAAAATTGAAGCGGTGTGCCCCGAGGGAAAGGTGCCCGTCATGTACGCGATCTCTGGAAGAGGAACTGGAGAGGGAACGCACCCTTCAACCACCATCTTTGGAGAAGATGTCACCTACGACATATGGGAACACGCCGAAAAGGAGGCGTGTTCCCCGTGGCGGAATGATATGTTTTATTCCTTTAAAAATTCATTTTTTTACTATAATAATTTTTGTTCTGAATTTCAAGACTTGCCATACACGGCAATAAACTTTTACATTTATTTATCTTGTTTGTTAATTATCTAGTTGTTGAAGAATAAAATTATTAAACTTAAATTGTGTGTGATTATTAAATAAAAAAGAAATGGTATCAACTCGTCTCTGTCGACATTGGAATTCGCAAGGTAAGCACCCTTGGAGCCGGCTAGTCTGACCTTCGCCACCTAGGATGTGTTACCGTGGAGAAGACGTCAGAGTGCACGTGCAAAACTGCAAGATCAGCACATTGTTCCAGAGTGAGTAATCAGCTTGGTGATCGGTCGTAAGTCAGGCGTCCATTTTTTTCAGTCATCAACGAAGCGCGGTCGCGACAAGAAGCCGAGATTTTAGTGAAGTGTTCTTTGTGCCACAAGAGAGGATTATCGTGTGTGTTGTGTTGTTTTTTGTTGTTGTGTTGTGTGAACGATAAGGGTTACGGGTAAAAACTTTGTGGCCCCCCTGAGCACCGGAGGAGGAGCACAAACCAACACCCTCAACCAGCGGATGTTGCCCTGTGGTGTCGCGCCCTATGACACCCTCCTCGGATGCTGGATGGTCCTCGTCGGCGTCATCATCATCGTCGGAACTGGCCTTCATCTGGACGCCACTCGGGGGTACCATCCCCATCGCCGAAGACCCGGACCCGTACGTGCTACGGCCGGGGTACGACGGGTTGGACCCCCAGCTCCCCGACTGGAGGTGGCATCTCCGGGTGGAGCACACTTTAGTGTTCCCAACGGAGCATCTTCAAAACGACACCCGTCATCGAGGAAGGTGCGGACCACCTCACCTGGACTGGTGGGAAACGGATGGTCCGTTTCCTATGAGTATTCCTCCAGAGGAATACACCCAAGATCGTCTGGAGAGCTGGCTGACCACGGAGAGGTCACAGCTCGACGACTGGGACGCCGAAGATGAGGAGCTGGCCCAGGTGTCGCTCTTCGGTGAATCCGACGAGGACCAGGGTGTTGAGAACAATTTAAATATGGAGTGCTAGTGTGTGCCAGAATATTGACTAAGAGTGTACTTTTTTTTAGTTTAGTGTTATTTACTGACTTAGTGACTATAGGATAATGAGTAGTTCGTGACAAGCTGACGTTTTTAATGAAGCTTGTGTGCGAGGATTAACGTGCGTAAGGTAAGATGAATTATTATTATATTTTTTCGGGATTATAGGGGGGGGGGGAGCAGAATGGGTCGTTGGGCAAGTGTCGTGTCGGGGAAGGGCCTACGTGGGGTATCCTTTTCCTATTATTTAAGAAAGAACCTTGCGATATTTCGAAACCAACTCGAATCGAACTCGAATCGAACTCGAATCGAACTCGACAATGATGAGAGGATCGAACTCGAAGTAGAACGGCCATGAACGATAAAAAATTAACATAGAGTGTCGTTCGTTCAAACAAAAAAATAGGATAGATAAAATAGAATATTTTTCGGATGAAAACTAATTTCACACACGGTTGCACACACGGGTTATTTAACAAAGAAAGCCTGCGATAACTCGGAACCAACTCGAATCGAACGCGAATGAGAAATTGATTTTTTACATCAATCGAGATATAGAAAACTCGCTTAATCCAATCGATCGTACAGAGTGGATTTTACAACGCTACTATGATTCCCCGCAAGATGACACTGTTCTTCTTTCAGAAAATAAAAATATTAATATATTAATAGACAACAGTTACAGAATGCAATAAATGTTATGATGAATAATTGATGTTACTGTGTGCGGTTTATGACATAAAATGACAAATAAATAAACAATGAATTATTGAATAATAAGTTCGTAAATGTTGGTTAAAGGTCGTATGAGAATTTGCATCTTAGGCGATCCCTATTTCTATGAACGGCCGGGGGCGCTATTAAATCGCGCAGTTATGTGAAACATTTTCATGAAAACTAGGAAAGTTTACATGAATTAAAATATGATCAACTACCGGAAGTGAAGTTTCGGCATTTCCGTCCTTGACCTTTCTAGAGATCACATCGGCGAAGAACGTGCAAAATATATCCACCATGGCTGAAGAGGACAATAACCGTACACTGACGAGTAATGCAGAAATCGACGAGATTATGGATGGAGACACTGTGGTGTAAGTTTATTTTTATTATGTGAAATAAGTGATTTGGATTGATTTCTTCAAGATATAGGTTGGATTTTCTTTACCCACGTGGAAAAAAATTAATAATTTTCCCTTTTCTCGGATTATGCAAAATCTTTTAAAATACACTATATAATTTTCAGTGAAACAATGAAAGTATAAGTAATTCTGCACTGATTCTTCAGGTCAACAGCATGGACCATATAACGGTCGTTGACGATATTATTCTCACAGAAAATCAAATGCGTGCGGGTTTCAGAGTTCCTGAGAGAGAGAGGCCCAGCAGAGAACTCTCTGTATCTCTGGGTGAGCGTAGACCATCAGAAAGTGTTGAGCCAGCAGAGACTCCACGTCAAGTGCAGAGAGCTCGATTGGAACCACCATCCCCATAACATCCCCATGTATGCAGAAAACCCTCATCTCTCTCCTGTATATGATGTCAGCAAGGACACATGAGATCTTTAAAATAAGGGTATTTTAAGGTATTTTTTCAAGCACTAGAGAAAGATCAGAACTTATCTCTTAATTTTAACAGTTGAGCTTTTTTTTAATATCTATATTCATATAAGATTGCAAATGACTTTAACAGCTACCTACGGGATTTTGATTGTCAGGGAAAAAAAATAATTCGTTTTATTTGAATATTCCATCGATCTCTCAGGCATTTTCTTTTAAATCTTCTGGTAAATATTCAGTTTTTGAATTCAAACACGCTCTAACATTCAAAGAATTAGTTGAAGCAAAAAACAAATATTTACAATTGATGAAATTGAAAAAATGCATAAAAATTTCATTGAAACTCGATTAAAATTAGTAAAATTTGATTCCAGTGAAGCGATTCACTTTTCACAGATGTACATTATTATGTTGAATAGTTTGCACACTATAATTTTCTCGATTTTCAATTTGTTGAGCAGAGAGAGAAGGCCGGATAGACGAAACAAAATTCATTTGTTATCTGTTGATTTAATTGCAAAACAGATATTGATCAGCAAGTTCATTAGCAAGATGAAAAAAGTATAGTGCTAAGAGTATTTAAAAAATGAAAGTGTTCAAAATAGAATAAGACATAGCATTTTTTTACATTGTGTTAATTTTGTGTTACATTTGTTAAATTATGATATTAGTTTAAAGTAAGAGGACCCAAGAATAGTGTGAGGTATCTCAACTAATTTTTTATTTACTCATGAAGAAAACCACACTAAATTTTCGATTTTTGACTAAAAAAATGTATTCATTGAGAAAAATCGGAGTTAAAAAATTCAATCATTCCAACATTATCGTACAAAGAACGTTCAGTGGTGTTCTTGATAAAAAATATGATTGAGATTATCATGAGTGAGAAAAATGAAAAAAGGTCTCGCAAACACTATTTAAAGTGAAAAGACTTGAAGGATCAGTCAGTAATTTGAACTTAAGATTTTTATTAATATTTAAGCAAAGTTTACTATTGTTGTTTTTATCCATGTTGAAAAATACATGGAAATATTGAATGTATTTAAAGTCACGACTTTTATGAAAAAAAAGTAACGTTGACTATGATGTTCCAGTGATGAACAAATGAGTTTAGATTTGCGTGCAACTTGACAAATATTCTCCTGTCTTGAAAATATTGCATAAAACGACAAAGTCAGATAGACCTAAAAAGATTGATGTTGGTAATTTTAAATTTAAGAAAGAAAACTGAAAGTATTGTTCCTCTCGCATGATGCCAAAAGTATTTTTCCTGTGATGTACAAGGTAGACCAGTAAGTTAGAGAAACTTTATTGTTTTTTGTTGCATTTTTTTTTCACTACCATGGATATTCATCAACAGGATGAAAATAATGATAAATAAAATGGAGGAATCATTATAAACACAAAGATTCTGAAAAATTTGGCGAAGTATGCCTGAGAAAAAATAAACACATTATTCGAGAGAGATTAATTTAAGGTTTCGATATCATTTCCATCTTTTACTAATACGAAAATGTGATAGAACGTTGTATTATCATAATGATACAGATAAACTGTATTGTTTTTCTAATGTAGTTGGATTAATAAATGATTAAAAATATGTATTCAGTTTTATTTTTTTGTTTTTGATACTTAAACGAGTATTGATCAGAGAGATAAAAATAAGTGTGATGATAATGAATAACATTAAGATTATGACAAATGAGCATGTTCAAAATAGAATTAAAATAAAAAGTGTTTTGCGGTCCATGTGATATTGAAAAAATGATGTTCACTCCGCTGTGAGTTTATTGTAATAGTCGATGTTACTATTTGCAATGAATTTAATTCATTGTGTTAAAAAACACAGTGAATATTCTATTTGTGTTCCAGAAACGTGTCAAATAAAAAATGATTGATGCAACTATTTTTTTAAATAATGTGAATTTTGTCCTGAGGTTAATTCTGTTAGATGGCGCTATGTATATGATTCATGACAAATTTCAATTTTTCTTGTGCGCATGCGCATAAAAAACTAATTTACCGAAGTCTTCCGGAAAAGTCCGGAATTTTGGCGTCTCCAACGTGATGGGCAAGCGCAATCATCATAACCAAAACGCTTTGATAGACGGAAGCATTGATTGTTTTGTGCTCAATTAAGCGCATTATTACTTGTGGAGAAAATAAAGGTACGTTAGACAAAATATGGTTGCGAGAATAAAATCGAATCAATACAATATTCCCATTATGTTTCATAATAGTTATCTCAGAAGGATAACATTTATTATGACTTTAACACTTCATAATCATAACCTCGATTCCACTCTTGCTTTGCTGATAATGAACAACGATTTTTTTTTATTATTATAGTAAATTAAATTTGGAGAATCATCTTGATTTATTAAAAGTCTGATACGAGTTTGAAATTTATGAAACTGTCCTAATATCTGAAACTTATTTTTATTTTTCGTTGTTTAAGTCATTATTCCGAGTAAATAAGGGAAAAGAGTACAGAATTACATATTTGCTATTATATCCTATTGGAATGAATTAATTTTATTAGAAAGATTCAATCATTTCAATAATGAACATTTCCAGTATTTCTAAAGTCATTCATTCATCAGGTGAAGATTATTCAAGATTAGCGGCATTTCCAGGAGGGGATATTTCATCAGTTCAACGGAAAATAATGATAAAGGTATTAATTTATTTTTATCATCCAAAATTTATAATTTTTCATAATTATAATGAACGATAATCTTCATTTCAGGGGGAGCATTCGCTGGGCGTTAACTATGCTGAATGAAACATTGAGAATTACAAAGAAATAAAGATATTATTGAGAAATTGCAGACTTATAGATTAGATAATACTAAATCATTGACAATTACCAAGAAATAAAAACCTTATTTGGAAATTACAGACTTACAGATATTCTAGATTATCTTAGACTTTATTGATTTATTATAAAACCAGATTTGAAAAAAGAGAAGGACAACACTAATTGAATTATGTAAAAAGGAAAACAAAACCAGAACTCAGAATTATTTCGATGCTTCGTTACATTATAAAAGTTTGAGGGTTATATAAATTTCTGTTCTTCATTGTAAGGGATAAATAATTGTTAACAAATTAATAAAGAACAGTATTTTAATCATAATCTGCCAGTCTATACTTGCAAACTGAAGAATCGTTCATTGAATTTTGAAAGGTTTCATATGATAATTGTTCGAAATGTCAAAACGACTGCAGAATTCACCATCCAGATTTAACCCTAAACGAAAATATAGATTTATACATGACATTGCATCAACAGATGCAGATTCAAATTTAGCTATGACTTCGGTGCAACAAGCTAATACCGATATTGTGACTTCTAATGAATGTTCAGAGCGATTTGAATCACACTGCAATCCTGCTCCTTCTACTTCTGCAAATCCAGATGAAAGTATTCCTCAATCTATCCTTCATGAACGAATATTAACAGGATTATCATTTGTCAAAAAGCGAAATTCACACATAAATTGCCAATTAACTCCCACGATTGGCATTAAGTTACACAGTCTCAAATCGTCAATGATTCCAGCTCCGACTCATTTCTCAGATCACAGATTCACTAGACAAAATCTTGAACAGCAAAAGAAACTGATGCAGTCCTCTTCTTTCGATTCCAGAGAAGCTGATGAATCATTTCGAAGAGGTCATTCTTCAAAGAAAAGAACAATTAAAATTGTTGCTAATTCTCTGCAGCCTTATACCAGTCAACGAACCAAAATCTCTCCAGATCACAATTCGACACGAATTTTTCCAACCGAAAAGAAGTCACAATTAAATAGGAATCCGCAATTCCGATATGTGCATAATATTGAAAACTCTCTCACACCTCAGGGTAATTCATCAACAGATTTAAATTTTTCCGCTCATTTACACCACAACACGGAAATACCTAATGACCATAGGACAAGCAATACAGTGCTAAATGATCGTCAATTACGTTACTGTCATGAAATCACCAACAATGTCTCACAAAATCTTGAACTTACGAATCAATATGTTCATCCAATTACGCACAGTATTGATGTGACAATTCCCACGACTAATGATCCAGAGCATTATCTGGGCCCTATGAGGATATTATGTACAACCTGCGGTGCACGACATTTCAAAGGAGAAAAGGTTCAGAAAAAAACTACTTTTAATGATTGTTGTAGCCATGGCACAGTGCAACTTGAAACTTTACCAGAACCACCACCCATTTTAAAAGAATTATTTCATTGAACGCATCCAAAATCACATCATTTCCTCCAAAGAATTCGCCATTATAATAATTCGTTGTCCTTTGCATCGTTTAATGCAAATTTGGTTCAATTTAGTAATAGGCGACCTGGTCCATACTGCTTCAAAATTCAAGGACAAATTTATTATCAAGTAAATACATCATTGTATCCAGCTGTAACTGAATTACCGTGTTACGGACAACTCTTTATTGTTGATCCAAATGAAGCCACAGAATTTCGCATGAATTCCAATTCTCAGTTGAATAGAGAAGTTGTGCAGGCCATTGACAATTCATTGCGTCAACACAATTCTTTCGCAAAGGCATATTACATGATGAAGGAAGAGTTGGAAATGATGAAGATACAAAATAATGATCAAGAACCAGAATTGCAGTTGTTATTTACACTGAAAAAAGGTCTCGATAAGCGGCGATATAATTTTCAACGATCAAACGAAGTAGCTGCTATTTTCTCTACTACTGCCGATGGTGATATTCCAGAATCATATGTGACGATTCGCCCCAAAGACACAAAACAATTGCAATACATGAGTACAATGGACCCGAACGTAGAGCCTTGGACTTATCCATTGTTTTATCCACATGGGACAATTGGCTGGCATACCGATTTGAAACTAATTGGTAGTTCACGTACAGTTACTCGAAATGCATATTTCAAATATCGCATAGCCATTCGAGAAGAAGTAAATTATTTTCTAATGGGGCGTCGATTATTTCAACAATGGGTTGTCGACAGTTATGTGAAAATTGAAAAAGACAAAAGGAAATACTTACGCAGTATTCAACAGAAACTTAGAGTTGACTCATATGAAGGTTTGATGGAGTATTTAAAACATCGGGCAAATGAATCGAATGCACATATTGGAAAAATTGTCATCCTTCCATCGTCACACACAGGATCACCTCGATACATGGCGCAGATATACCAAGATGCAATGACGATAGTTCGAACATTTGGCAAACCTGATTTATTCATCACAATGACTTGCAATCCCAAATGGGCTGAAATTACAGAGAATCTTAGTGACGGACAAACGGCATCTGATCGACCAGATTTGGTAGCTCGTGTGTTTGAATTGAAAAAAGATGAATTGCTGAGGACGATAAAAGTGGAAAAGCTTTTCGGCGAAGTACAAGCTTATGTTTATGTTATTGAATATCAAAAGCGTGGCCTACCTCACGTTCATCTTCTATTAACTTTGAAATAAAATTCAAAAATAACCACTCCAGAAATTGTGAACAAACACATTTCAGCTGAAATTCCAGAGCGAATGGAAAATCCTCGATTGCATGAAATCATTAAAGCCAATATGATTCATGGTCCTTGTGGAGACTGATGCTTGGATGAAAAGGGAAAGTGTTCTAAAAAATACCCCAAAATATTTTGTGAACAAACAACAATGGATGAAGATGGTTATCTTTATTACAAACGGCAGAATACAGGATCCTACACTCGCTCGGACGGTTTCGTTTTTGATAATCGACATGTTGTACCTCATAATAAAAAATTACTGTTGTCCTTCAATAGCCACATAAACGTAGAAGTGGTATCCAGCGTCAAAGCAGTTAAATATTTCTATAAATATATCTTTAAAGGACATGATGCTGCTGCCGTTCTGATTCAGGGTTCTGATTCGAATCCACAAGGAATTATAGATCACGATGAAATAAAAAATTATCTTGAAACTCGCTACGTTAGCCCTCCCGAAGCTTGCGCGCGAATTTTGAACTATGGAATGCACAATAGGAGTCATGCAATTACGCGGTTATCAGTGCATTTACCAAATCAGCAAACAGTTATGGTTAATGATCTCAACAATGAGAATGCCATTCAAGCGGCACTGAACAAGGAAACGACGCTTACGGCATATTTTGCTTTAAACAGCAGAGATCCTCAAGCCCGTCAATCCAGAGATTGCTGTTCACTATACATTCAAAAAAGTCAATGGGCATTATATTAGGGCTGATCGTCAGAAACAATTCAACATAATTGGTCGTATGTATGCAGTAAGTCCCACACTCACTGAATTATTTCAGCTTCGATTACTTTTGCTCAATGTGAAAGGTGCACAAAGTTATGAAGATTTGAAAACAGTAGATGGAATTAAACATGGTACCTTTGTCCAAGCGTGCTTGGCATTGGGTTTGATTGAAGATGATAACGAATGGAAAAATGCAATGCATGAAGCTGAAATTTGGATGATGCCCCGACAATTGCGGCATTTATTTGTTCGCATATTAATTCACTGGAAACCCATTAAACCTGAACAATTATGGGAAGAGTTCAAAGATGCCCTGTCGCAAGATTATTCACGTATGATGCCTTTACCACAAGCACACAGGAAAGCATATATTCAAATAAATACATTGCTGATTCACGAACGATCGAGCATTTCAAACTTTCCATCTATGCCTCAAATTACAGAAATAGACAATATTGAGGATGATATGCTGCCTGTTGATCATCTCGCGAGTGGTGCTGCACAGTACCAAAGACTGAATGAAGACCAAAAAGCAATTGTAGATCGACTTTCGCAGATAGCATTGAATGAAAACTCGAACAATGAACCGAGGGCTTTTTCGTCGATGGCCCTGGGGGATCAGGCAAAACCTTTCTGTACACAACTTTATATCATTTATTACGCAGTAAGGGAAAAAATATTTGTACGATGGCATTCACTGGAATTGCAGCTATTTTACTCCCTCATGGACAAACAGTTCACAGAACATTCAGGTTACCACTCGCAATTTACAATGATTCCTCTCCAACTATTAAAGTGCAGTCGAAACAAGCAGAATCTCAAGAATATCGACTTATTCATTTGGGATGAAGCCCCGATGACACCACGACATGCTTTAGAGCTGATAAACATGAGTTTGAAAGACATCATGAATAATGACAAACCATTTGGTGGGAAATTAATGTTGTTAGGAGGAGATTTCAGACAATTATTACCGGTAAAGAAAAATGCCACTCGTTGTGAATTAGTTGACTTATCCATCAAACACAGCTACTTGTGGCCTTTATTCTCTCAATTTTCACTTACAAAAAATATGCGTACACGGTCTAAGGAAATTGCCTTCACGCAGTTTTTACTGTCGATTGGTAACGGAAGTATTAACAACAATGATTCTCAAATTTACTTACCAGATCATTGCATTGCATCTTTGGAAGCTGATATTGCCAAAGATACATATGGAGAAGTTATAAAGAATAAGCAATATGAAAAGTTTGCTTCATGGGCAATATTATCAGCGAGGAATGTAGATGTAAACGACATTAATAAGTGTGTTGTAGAGTTATTAGATAAATCAACTGAGAGAATTTTTATGAGTGTTAACACAGTTGAAAAATCTGATAATGGTGAGATGTCTGAAGTATTATTACCCGAATACTTGGAAACATTGGAACCGAATGGTTTTCCTCCTCGTGAATTAAAGTTGAGAACAAATGCAATTGCTATGCTTATTCGAAATCTTTCTATTAACGAAGGGCTGTGCAATGGGACAAGATTACAAATATTGGAGCTTTCCAATCATTTATTGAAGTGCAAGATTGTGACAG